ATTTTATAGCATTGATTTATATTTAACATATTTGAAATTATTGGAAAGAGATCTATATAATGGTATAATAAATTGTAGATTTTAAAGAAGAGAAAAATTTGTATAATATGTATTTTGAAAAAATTATCTCCTTAAGATATATTATTTAATTTTATAACCGATAATATTCCATATAATAGTGTAAGAAATTTTAGTTTTTAATGATAACAAAAAAATTATATAATATGTATTTTGAAAAATTTGTCTTCTTAAGATATATTATTAAATTTTATAACATTTATTTATATTTTACCAGTTTAAAATCAGGAGAGAGAGATCTATTACATAGTATAGGACATTTTAGATTTTAATGATAACAAAAAATTCTATAATATGTGTTTTGAAAAAATTGTCTCTTTAGGTTAAATTATTTAATTCTATAGCATTTATTTATATTTTACCAATTTGAAATAGGAAGAGAGATTTTAAAGAAGGGAAAAATTTATATAATATGTTCTTTGAAAAAATTGTCTCTTTAGGTTAAATTATTTAATTCTATAGCATTTATTTATATTTTACCAATTTGAAATAGGAAGAGAGATTTTAAAGAAGGGAAAAATTTATATAATATGTTCTTTGAAAAAATTGTCTCTTTAGGTTAAATTATTTAATTCTATAGCATTTATTTATATTTTACCAATTTGAAATAGGAAGAGAGATTTTAAAGAAGGGAAAAATTTATATAATATGTTCTTTGAAAAAATTGTCTCTTTAGGTTAAATTATTTAATTCTATAGCATTTATTTATATTTTACCAATTTGAAATAGGAAGAGAGATTTTAAAGAAGGGAAAAATTTATATAATATGTTCTTTGAAAAAATTGTCTCTTTAGGTTAAATTATTTAATTCTATAGCATTTATTTATATTTTACCAATTTGAAATAGGAAGAGAGATTTTAAAGAAGGGAAAAATTTATATAATATGTTCTTTGAAAAAATTGTCTCTTTAGGTTAAATTATTTAATTCTATAGCATTTATTTATATTTTACCAATTTGAAATAGGAAGAGAGATTTTAAAGAAGGGAAAAATTTATATAATATGTTCTTTGAAAAAATTGTCTCTTTAGGTTAAATTATTTAATTCTATAGCATTTATTTATATTTTACCAATTTGAAATAGGAAGAGAGATTTTAAAGAAGGGAAAAATTTATATAATATGTTCTTTGAAAAAATTGTCTCTTTAGGTTAAATTATTTAATTCTATAGCATTTATTTATATTTTACCAATTTGAAATAGGAAGAGAGATTTTAAAGAAGGGAAAAATTTATATAATATGTTCTTTGAAAAAATTGTCTCTTTAGGTTAAATTATTTAATTCTATAGCATTTATTTATATTTTACCAATTTGAAATAGGAAGAGAGA